TGTCTGGACTGCCAGAATCAAGGGAGAGGAAAAGCTGCCTAATTGTCAAGAGAGTGGGCTGCTCTGCTGCCATATGGGTTCAGTGTGTGATTGTTACAAACTACCTGCATGACCTAAAGCATCTCATTGTCCTATGCCTCAGTTTCTTATCCATGAACAGCACTCCTTTTCTTCTGCCCTTTGCATATTTAGACCCACAGGTCAGATCCAGCCTCCAAAGCCACGTCCATCTGGTCTGAAGGGCTCCCTCTGGATGGGAAAACAGCAGCAACATTTTTGGCTTCTCTCTACTGCCATGTAGACAGCATGGCCCTGTGAGTGTTGGGCTGGGGTGGCACAAGTCCGGCTCCACCTGCCATGGAGCCGTATCTGGACATGCAGGGCTTGATCCAGGTGGCACAAGGCAGGATCAAAGTGAGAAGCAGGATGCAGGCTCATGGGGCAAGGTGGGATCCAGCAATGGGGCCTTATTCCAGTGACGTGAGGCTGGATCTAGGCATGTCTGGCTCAATCTGGGTGGCACAGAAATGGATCTGAGTGTACAGTCCAGCAGAGAGCAATGAAAATGGTTGTGGGGTACATGACTTGTGAGGAGAGGTTGGGGGACCTGGGCTTATTCAGTCTGTCGAAGAGATGACCGGGAGGGGATTGAATAGCAGCCTTCACCTCCCTGCAGGGGGGCTGCAAAGAGGGTGAAGCTGGATTGTTCTTAGTGGGAGCAGATGACAAAACAAGGAGCAAGCATCTAACATTGCAGTCAGGGAAGTTTAGATTAGATATTAGGAAAAAAATTCTCCCTAGGAGGGTAATAAAATCCTGGAACAAGTTACCCAGAGAGGTGGTAGACTGTCCATTCTTGGAGGTTTTTAGGACCCAGGTAGACAAAGCCCAGGCTGGGATGATGTAGTTGGGGCTGGTCCTGCTTGGAGCAGGGGGCTGGACTAGATGTGACCTCCTGAGGTCCCTTCCAGCCCTCATTTTCTATGTTTCTATGACTCTCCACCAGCTCCATATGGGATCCAGCCCACAGACCAGCCCTATGCCACTCATCTGGCCCACAGGGCCTAAAAGTTGAGCACCACTGGCTTAGACATCCTCTGAGCCAGACAATACAGTGCACAGCACCTAACACAGTGAACTCAAGTGGCATTTCTTTAGCAAAATTTGTGTGCATTTTAGGAAGCAGCAAGGTATGTGTGTTTTAGGAACACTAGTTCCCATAGCCCGTGGCCCACAAGGGAAGGATATAGTCAGCAGGTTATCCAGCCAGTTTGGACTCCTCAGCTTGCCTGTCCAGCAGGTTTGAACAGAGGCAGACTTTCCTGTAAAGCAAGGCTCAAATTCAGGCCTTCAGACCTGTAGCAAGACATACTTTACTACTGCATGTCTGGGGGGCTTTAGAGGCTATAACAACAGTAATACATCATGGCAGAATTGGGTCTCTGAAACATTTTATCCTCTTGCCATCCATATGAAAAAAGAATAGTCTTCTTCTCTTTTTCTCTTTAGGAAGCATTTAAAATTGCACACTCCCTGGTGCTCTCAGCTTCTGGTGATGACAACACAACAATCAGATGACCCGGACTGGCAGCACAGAGGAACACTTCCAGGAACGATGACTGTAAATAACTGAAACACCAATGGCCACAACCTATGTCTAGCAATACCCACCTTCACGTGGGCATTTGGTCAGAATCCCAGGATCTTGCAAGCTGTGTTGATGAGGAGGAGAATTGGGGGCACGGGTTTCTTTGATACAACCCTGTCTGTTTGCAGAGGACATACAAAGTCCAGTTTCCCCGAACAGCGAAGGAATCAAGAGACAATCTTTGCTCACAGCTCTAAGGCCCTTTCCAGCCATCGCTTAATCCCGGGTCCTTTCTCTCAATACTGTACTCCACATACTTGTTCAAATTTAGTGTCTCTTTTTTCCTAGCTCCTCGTCCATGCCTGTTCCCAGGTTGTTTTCTCCCTGCTTCACCCCTTCACCCAGATACACAGTTCTGCTCCAACAATACCTAGCAAAGTCCCTCCACCCGGTTCAAATACCTAAAATGACTTACCCATGCCTTTGCTTTGGGTTGCAACATGTGTTTTGGTTTGGAGGCTGCTACTATTAATAATAATAGCATAGAAGTAATAGAAATAATAGCATAACTGCTTCTACTACCGTAGAAGAAGAGCAGAGATTTCACCCCTTCCCAGCTTGAATAAGGTCAAACCCATCTGGTCCAACCCCTGCCTGAAGCAGGATCATCGTGATTCAAACCATCCCACACAAACCATTGTGTAAACTCTACCTACCATCAACCCTGACACAAAGTAGACCTAACACCCTAACCTGCCACAGTTGAAGAAAGAAAGCCACAGGAGACAATGACCTCAAAACACCAGGATACATACAGTGACAGCTCTATAATAAAACAAAACACCTAAAGGACATGGTCAGTGATGCTTTATTAAGGTTTATTAACAAGAGAATGGATTTACTAAACTACAGTTCATTGAAGTATGCAGCTTCCCAATAACTTGATCCAGCACTCAATGAAATCCATGGAAAGGTTCCCATTGGCTTGCATGTGTGTTGAGAAAAGGCTTCTGTAACCATGATCAGAGAGCCAGAATTGAACCTGCGATCTTCAGCATGAAGGATTTAACCTGAACCTGACCAAAAAAAAATAAAAAAATAATGATATTAGTTTCATTGTCTTCATTGAAGTTTGGAATGGGCGCCTTTACCTGTTGAGCTAAAGGACCGTTAGAAGCTTATAGCAGCCAACTCTTATCCTTTATAAGTAATAGACACTTAATGCATGCAAAACCGGTTGGATACACTAGAACTTCAGGAGACAGGTTATAAATGAAGTGGACTCTTGCCCATGATATATTTCATACCATGATTTTCCAGTTAGAGAGAGAAAAATATACTGAAAGCAGCCACCAAAGAAGGAAAAATAATCCATCCTTTGCAGTTCCAAAAATACACAAGGTGAGAATGCTTCTGATCGAATGGCGTGTTCAAATAGCCATCAAGGACACACAAGAGCTCAGGAGTTACAGCGATGATCCTTTCAATTCCTTCAGTTTGGAGTCTGATTTTTGTTTTTTAAATGCTAGGCTTCGATTTTTTCTCCTCTGAAGTTGTGGAAGTGCCATGAGCAATAGGAGGAGATTGGCACACGTGGAGTTTTTTCAGAGGCGCAATCCCCAAGGCACGTTAATGGAAGTGAATACAAATGAGATGTCTGACATGGGAAGGGCTGTATGAATATTCTGGTATTATTATTATTAAATTCCTATAGAAGGTTTCAGAATATGATCCCGAGTGAGGTTTCCAGTTGTGTCGCTGAGAACCGGCTAATGACAAAAACATCTCTCTTTTGAATGCATTTTTGGATGAAAATTTTTGAAAAAAAAAAACCTTTGTGGCCTCCATAAATCACAACCATTTGCTATGCAGCTAGTTGTAGGGATCTGGGAAAGGTTGGGATTCAGTTGGAGAAGTCATATGATACTAGCTCATTAAAAACATGAAGCAAGAGTAACACCAGACAAGTAATTTATTATCATTATGGTGACCAAAACAGAATCTTACATGAATATAGCTCCCTTTTGCAGAAGGATTTCACAACACTTTACCTATATATAATGTGTGTTCATATGAGGGAGAGAGAGAGGATGCATGATGTGCTATAAAAGTTTTATCGGCACAAATTTGGACTGCTTGGACTATACACAAGGGGTAAAGCCATGAGGTTACTTGGGAGTCAAAATAGTTCTACTAAGTACCACTATATTCTCTATGAGAGGCAAGGATTTTTGGGGGTGATATCTTTTATTGGACCCAGAGGTCCCAAGTACGAGGGGGCCTGAGTGCCCTAGCCCCGCCTCGGGAAGAGGGCTGTCACCTGAAAAGCATAAAACTTTCCACGTTTCTAGGGGATAAAAAGAAGTTTCTAGGGGAAAATCCAGTTTGTTACCACAGCAGAAGACACACTGATGGGCTTTATCTGGGCCCGTTTCAAAATTAGGCTTATATTTAATAACAACCTCTTTTGTCTCTGTCAAAATAGAAACACGGGAGGAGCAATTCTTATCAGCCGCTTAAGCGTGCAGCAGCTCTGCCCAACACAGCTCAGGAAGCATGACAAAAAATATTGTACCAGGTTGAAGGAGCATTGTGTAAGAACAATGACTAAATAGTGACTCAGAGAAAAAGAGTGCAAAGGAAACCAAAGTTTCATTTCCTCCTTTGAAGAGTTCCCACTCAAGGGAAGAGCAGGCCTGGGGCCATGTCACTGGGGAGACCTAGAGCTACATAGCTGGGTGGGACGCTGAAAGAATAGGTACAAATGTATGCAGAATGAGAGGATGTACTGCTATTGGCAGGCGAAAAGCCTAATTGAATCACCAAAGACCAGGAATGAGAAAGGAAGGATAGGAAAGCACTGGCATTGGACTGCATTCATGTATTTTGTTAACTCAGTGTACCTTCAATACCGGAGATGCAGGGGTCAATTCTGCAAGTACTCAGATACGAGGTTTTCCTCTGCTGTTGACTTGGTCTGTGACACACTTTTTCTGCCACACCTTCTGTTGTTGTCATGAGGTTTCAAAGTACTGAGGTCCCTGCAGTTGATTCTTCTTCCATTTGGGGCAGTCATGGGCAACAGATTCCCATGAGTTGACACTGATGTTTCATTTTTTTCAGTTGGCCTTGCGGACAACCCTGAAGTGCTTTCTCTGCTCTTCTCTTGAGCAGACACTTTAGCTGAGCTGGGAGAATAAAAATTGCTTTGGGAGTCTGGAGTTAGACAGCTGGATGACATGGCCAACTCAACAAAGTTAATGTCAGATGATCATTGCCTCAATACTCCTGATATTTGCTTGCAGAAGGATGCTAACATTGGCGCATCTATCTTCCCACTGGATTTGGAGGGTCTTCCACAGGCAGCACTGATGCTACAGAGCGCAATTCTGCCATCCCTCCAGGATTGCCCTGGAATCTCAAGGAATTAGACATAAATCTCCAGGAGACTTCCAAGAGTCATCTGAGAGATAAATGGTAGGGCATTGTTTAAAATAAATATTAAATATTGAATCTGATTTATACAGTAGTTCAGTGGGTTTTTAAAATAGATTTCATAGACATTAGGGCTGGAAGGGACCTTGTAAGATCGTCGGGTCCAGCCCCCCGCTCAAGGGTCAGGAAGTCGGTTGGGTCAAAGGATCCCAGCAAGATTAACATCCAAATGTTTCTTGAAAGTGTCCAAAGTATGTGCTTGCACCATCTCTGGAGGGTGGGGGGAGGTCTGTTCCAGGCCTTAGGGGCTCAGACAGTAAAGAAGTTTTTCCTTATGTCCAGCCTAAAACGGTCTTGCAGGCGTTTGTGCGTGTTGGACCTTGTCATCCCTTGGGGTGCTCTGGTGAACAGGCTTTCCCCCAGATCCTGATGCACACCCCTTATGTACTTATAGGCTGCCACCAAGTCACTTCTGAGCCTGTGCTTCTTCAGGCTGAAGAGTCCCATAGCTCACAGCCTCTCTTCATAAGGCCTATTCTCTTGCCCTCTGATCATGCACATGGCTCTCCTGTGGACTCTCTCAAGCTTCTCCACATCCTTCTTAAGTTGTGGAGCCCAGAATTGGATGCAGTACTCCAGCTGTGGTCTCACCAAGGTTGAGTACAGTGGGAGAATGACATCCTGGGTCTTGCTCAAGATGCAGTGGTAGATGCAAGCCAGAATTTTGTTTGCTTGCCAGCTGCAGTATTGCATTGGTGGCTTATGTTCATTTGATGGTAAATCATGACCCCCAAGTCTCTTTTGGTCATGATGCTAGCAAGTGTAGCATTGCTGAGCCTATAAGTGTGATGTAGTTTGTTTTTCTTCCTGAGGTGGAGCACCTTGCATTTCTCTGTATTTAATGCCATGAGGTTTTCATCATCCACCTTGCAAGCCTATCGAGGTCAGCCTGCATCACCAGCCTACCCTGAAGTGTGGACACTGTTCCCCAAAGTTTGGTGTCATCAGCGAACTTGGCCAGTCTGGTTTTGACACCAGTGTTCAGATCATTTATGAAGACATTAAAGAGTACAGGTCCAAAAATGGAGCCTTGGAGGACACGACTATTCACTGAGTGCCATGTTGATTCAGTTCTGTCAACTACCGCTCCCTGGGTCCAACCTTGGAGCCAGTTCCCCAGCCGTCGGACTGTGGAGTAGTTGAGGCTGCAGTTTCCCAATTTTTCCACAAGGACATCATGGGACACCAGGTCAAAGGCTTTTTTAAAGTCCAAATATATGACATCAACCTCTTCCCTTTTGTTCAGGTGATACATCACCTAGTCATAGAAGGAAATGATATTAATCAAGCAAGATTGTGTGGTGCTCTGGCCAGGTGCCAGAAGACTGGAAGAAGGTCAATGTGGTCTCCATTTTCAAAAAAAGGGAGGAGGGAGGACCCAGGCAACTATAGGCCCGTTAGTCTTACTTTGGTCCTGGGGAAGCTTTTTGAAAAAAATTATCCAGGAGCATATCTGGGAGGCACCAGCCGCTGGGGGAGGATGCTGAAGAGAAACCAGCATGGGCTGATTAAGGGCAGGTCCTGTCAGATCAAACTGATACCCTTCTGCAATGAGATCACAAAATCCTTGGACGCAGGTGTCGCTGTGGACATAGTCTTTCTGGGTTTTAGGAAGGTCTTCAACACTGTCTCTCACCCCATTCTCATTAAGAAATTAGGCGACTGTGAAATCGATGCCTACGCAGTCAGATGGGTCACAAATTGGCTGGAGGGTCACACCCAGAGAGTGGTGGTGGATGGGTCTTTTTCAACCTGGAGGGATGTGGGCAGTGGGGTCTCCCAGGGCTCGGTCCTCGGGCCCGCACTGTTCAACATCTTCATCAGCGACTTGGATGAGGGGGTGAAAAGCACCCTGTTCAAATTTGCTGATGACACTAAGATGTGGGAAGAAGTGAACATGTTACAGGAGAGGGACAGGCTGCAACTAGATCTGGACAGGTTACGGGGTAGGCGGATGAGAACAGGACGGGTTTCAACACAGACAAGTGCAAGGTGCTGCACCTGGG